TAGTTAAAAGTGTTAAAGATGATATGAAATCGGAACGCCACACTGTCACGAACGAGAAGACTAAGAAGATGGTTGATGAATTCTTGGAAGATGTAAAGGTTTCAACATCCAGTGGAGAACAACGTCGACCTAAGAGAAACACTGCGATTCCATCTCGTTTTGATGATTTTCTTGTTACTGAAAGTCTGCCAAGTGAGAACACCAAACGTCCAAACATTCAAATTTTCATAGAATGCTTGGATTTACTGAATGCTGAATTCAGTCGGCGTTTTTCCACTGAAAACATTGCACTGTGGGAAGCTATGTCAGCATTATGACCATCGTCTGATGTGTATCTTGAGTATGACATTCTCAAGCCTTTGTTTGAGTATGCTACTACGATTCCTGTGTTGAGAGACTTCTATTTGAAAGAAAAACTTGCAACGAAAGATCTGGAAGCTGAATGCAAAATATACGCTCGTGTGTTTAAAGATAAGGAATGGCCAAAAAATGAAAACGAGAAAATTGATTTAAGTGAAGTTGCCATAATTGTCATAAATAATCACCAGAAAGGAGCTCCAATACTATCTTCTTTGTACAAAGTTGCTGTAACGTCGGGGTTCACGTCTACACGAGTAGAATGTGTATTCTCTTCCCTAACTCGAGTTGATTCCCCTCAACGAAGATCAATGAAAACGCAGCGTGAGACAGATCTGGCTTATCTAAGCTTTGAAAGTAAGGTTTTGCTAAATGACATTACCTTTGAAGATTTTCACAAAGCTTGGAAAATGAAACCACGAACACTATCAGTGTGAGAATCAGTGAGACGTTTGTATGAATATTTTGATTACTAACAGAAATTTAATATTCCATTAATACACTATTTAGTTTTGCGTTATTTTGGTTTTGGTTAAGCTTACCTACAACAGTAAAGCAAATCACGTTTAATTATTTGATAGTACTTTAGTATTACTGTAGGCCTAATAAACGCTTAATTTCCATTTTCAACGGCTGTGAAACATGATATACAGCGACCGTAGAAGATTAATACTTGAGGCTCATAGTCATACTCAATTTTTGTATGAAAATAGTTTGCTTGTGGCCTAAAATAAATAACCTCTTTGTTGGAAGCTAGGCTAGATAGCAGACGGCTGAACTGACCCTATACAGAACTTTAAAGACTCACAAAATTAAGCACAAGTATAATACTTTTACAGTGTAGACTGTAGAAGAACGTTCCGTTCGATCCCAATTTTTCTGAGCTGGAAAGGAAAACTAGCTGCCAGAGGCGCCGGAATATCGATAATTGGGGGGGGGGGCAGATATTCACATATTCGTGTTTTGTCCAATTAATTTCTTTTGAAATCGATTGTTTTTACAGTCTGTGAACACGAATATATAAATATCTGCCCCCGCTATTATCGATATTCCGGCGCCTCAACTACTGTAGCTGCTAGCACGAAAATCAAAATCATCCCAATCCCCCTGTTGCATTCTTTCTGCAGTGCCCCCCCCCCCAGAAATTGAGAGCCAGCTATGGGCTTGCATGCTCTTACTTGGAACGAAGTCATTTTAAGAAGTAACGTTTTACTTTGTTATCAGGGAGTGCAGCAGGGCAAGTGCCCCCCCCCCCCTATCCCCGCACCGAGAAAATTTAACTAACTTTATAATGTGATTGTGGTTGTAACAGATAATTATGCAGTCAGGAAATAAAAATTTCATTTAAACAATATTCAAAGTGTATATACAGCCGGCTATTTAGTAAACTGTCACCTGTCAATTCAATCCATACTCATCAAATTTTCAAAACTTTATTGTAATCATATGAAGCAAAAGTTATGTCACTTGTTGTTTACACTTGCCAATGTTAACTGTTGAGTAACATACACAAACTATTTGGTGAACATGTTGAAGACCACTGAATAATTGAGAATGTTTTGAAGGTCATGAGTGAAGTATATAATTAAATTCCAGTTCTGTGCACAGTTAATGATATACCACACTGTTCGGTTTAACACGTACATCACATTCACAGAAAAACAATTGTGTTGTGGGAGATTATCGGTTTGAGTAGAAGGTATCACAAGTTTAGTTTTGTACATTGTGTGCCATTGATCAAATCCACCATATAACATATGATTATTCATTGTAGCTGTTAAGTTATTTTCCATACTAATGAATTTAGGTAAGATTGTCTTGCAAGTTGGTTGTTCTGACAAAATTATCCAGCCAATATCCAGTACATTTATTCTTCATTCTTGTATTAATCTCTAAAGAAAAATATTTATGTTAGAAAGCAAAATGACAATGTAATGAGGCTCTGGAGGGTGAGGATTCTTTTATTTGAAAATGTTGGTAAAAATTTTGTTTAATTAACTCTAATGTGTAAAACCAAAATGTATAAGTATTTTAACTGATAACATCTTCAAACTTTGCTCTAACACTACATTTGATGACAGCTTTATAGTTGGACTGTTGTTTTAAACAGAGTTATGGAGTCAATATACAGAAATACAGGACCAGGATTTAATTCAATGTCTCCTGAGAATGTTTTCACTGTTTAAAATATTACAGAAGTCACAGAAGGATTGTTTTTAATACTGTATAAATCTTTTTGTGAACTATGTTGACAAATGGCTTAAAATATCCTCGAAAATATCCAATATTTTATACAGTGTAATATATTAATATTAACAAAACTCCAGAGTGCATTCCATGTAAACTCTACGCCGAAGATACGGCAATATTAACTATAGATAGTATAGTAAATATTTGCCGAACTCGTGTATTATAAAATATGTGGGACATATATTTGCACAAATTTGGTATTTAAATATATAATATGTGGTATTTGACTACTTACCAGATGAGGATAAATAACTTCGGAATAAAAAAAAGACAGCCAATTCAAGATAAATTGATAAAAATATCAAGATATTTTTGAAACAATAACACGATTTATACACGAGGCCTGACGAGGCTAAAGTATGCCCGTTCGCAGGTTAGATGCGGGCACGATGTAAACAATTGATGTAAACGAATCGCTGATTGGCCTAAATTGTCTTAAATTATATAAGCTCGTCGCTGAATGGCTATCTGTTAACATACGGTACGGTACGGTAACAGTACGGTACGTTTGCGATAGCATATATATCTGCTTCGCAGATACAAAAATCATTTGAATTCTTTTAAAATTCCCCTTCATTTCCGGTCTGAAAACACTCTCGCAAGGTCAAATTTCAACATGGGCTATAACTCCTATAAAACAGAAAGTTGAAACGTTCTGAAAGAAGCTCCATTAATATTGACCAAAGTCTAGTTCATATGCAAAATATGAGCTAAATCTATTTTTCCTTCCCCAAACCAGTGGGTGGATTTTACTGAGATGCCCTCTTAAAGCTGCTTGTAAGGAAATTCGTCGATTGTGTCGAGCTGAGGAGGTGTGGCGTTATCTGGCCGACAAGAAAATATCGTGGAAATTTATCGTCGAGAAAGCTCCGTGATGGGGCGGGTTTTGGGAGAGACTCGTAAGAAGTATCAAGCGACCACTAAAGAAAGTAATTGGAAGAACAAACCTTAGTTTCGATGAACTTCGAACCTTGATTGTGGAAATTGAGGGCTTATTGAATGCACGTCCCATAACCTACGTCTATGATGACACCGAAGCTATCTCGTATCCACTTGCACCGTCGCATCTAGTCTATGGACGACGAATTACTACATCTCCAAATACCCAACACTATGAAGTGGTTAGTACCCATAAGTCATTAACTAGGAGACTTCGGCATCACAAACAATTACTCGAGCGATTTGCGAAACAATGGAGAAATGAATATTTGTTGTCATTACGCGAACATTCGTATCCAAAACCGAGAAACAACCGGGAGTCAGGCATTGCAGTTGGAGATATAGTTATCGTTAGAAATGAAAAATTGAATCGAAACTTTTGGAAGTTAGCAAAGGTGGAAGAGTTACAAGCTGGAGATGATGGAGTGGTTCGCGCAGCGACGATCAGAATATGTCGAGAAAATTCAAGCCATTCCCAATTATTGCATCGTTCAATAAAGCATCTGATCCCGATAGAAGTACGACAATTGCCGGACGATCAGAAAGTAGCAGAGCAAGGAGAAGAAGATAAGCAAGTACTACCTAAATCAACACGGCATCAAAGAGATGCTGCCATAACTGGACAACTTAGGCGGCTGAAACAATCAGGCGTTTTGTAAATAAAGAACAAGTATGACAATGACACTGATAAGTTATTCATATTAAATAGGGATTAGTTGACAACATATTTGTCAACCCTGGGGAGTGTGAGAAACATTTGATATTAAGGGAAAATGACGTCATATGTCTTCACCGGAAGCGAACATGTTTGATTGACAGTTTGAGAATTTTGTATAAAGCATGCGTTTTATGTATAATGTAAATAACATAGGTTGAAGTTTAATACAAATCATAGCAAACGAGTACGAAGTCTACGAAAGTTTATAATAATTGTAAACTTGTCCTTGTTGTTAAAAAAATTATAAAAGATTTAAAAATAAGTTGAAACATGTAATTAAAATTGCCAAAAAACTACAATATGAAGAATTATTCATAAAATATAAAAACGATACTAACTGAATGACATGGAAGACTATTAATACACTATTAAATAAAAATGTAAAAACTAAAGAATTACCTAACAAATTCATTGCAAAAACCTCAGGCGAATCAATAACAAAGCCTTCAAAAATCGCTGATAAATTATAATAATGAATATTTTATAAATATTGGACCACATTTGGCCAGCAAAATAAATGGAAATTTGGACACTTCAATTCAAAAATATCTTACGGGAAACTTCATGAACAGTATGTTTCTAAATCCAATAACTGAAAACGAAATGAAAAGTGAAGTGTTTAAATTGAAAGACAATAAAAGCCCTGGGTATGACGAAATCAATGCCAAAATCATTAAAACTGTCGCAACAGACATTAATATATTCAACTTGAGTTTCACAACAGGTTTTATCCCTGAGCAGTTAAAGTTGGCCCTGGTTACTCCTATTTTTAAAGCGGATGATAAACAAATATTTGAAAATTGCAGACCTATTTCCGTCCTGACGTGTTTCTCTAAACTATTAGAGGAACTTAATATGTACAAAAGACTAATTAGTTTTATTGAGAAAAACAAAATACTAACAGAAAACCAATTAATATGGTTTTAGGCGTAATAAATCAACAGAAATAGCAGTTGTAAATCTTGTTAGCAAAATTACCAAAGCAATTAATGAAGGTAAATATACAATAGGAATTTTTCTTGACTTATCAAAAGCTTTTGATACCGTCGGTCATGATATTTTATTAAAAAAGATGGAGCATCAGTGGAGTAAGAGGACTTGCTTTAACGTGGTTCAAAAACTATTTAATGAATAGAAAGCAGATTGTGAAATTCAAACAGGAAAATTATAAAGAAATAAAAATTACAACTGGTGTTCCCCAAGGATCTGTTCTTGGGCCATTACTTTTTTTATTATACATAAATGACATACAAAACTGCAGTGATGTTGTTTCATTTGTCCTGTTTGCAGATGATACAAACGCATTCTATTCTAATTCCAGCAATATAGCAAAAGAAACAATGCAAAGAGAGATGCATGAAATACTTAAATGGTTAAACACAAATAAACTCTCTATAAATACAACTAAAACAAAATTGATCCTTTTCAGAGCACGCAATAAGAAGCAACTAACTGAAATTGATATTAAAATAAATGACCAGTCGATCGAACAAGTGAAATGCACAAAATTCTTGGGTGTTCTAATCGATGAAACACTCACATGGAATAATCACATTGGTTCAGTTTCAAAAACATATTTAAATCAACCGAAATTATTTCGAAAATTCGGCATTATATATACGAATCAAAATACATTAAAATTGCTTTACTATGCCCTTGTCTATCCTTATCTCACTTACGCTAATTTAGCTTGGGGTAACACATACCCTTCAAAATTGCAAAAATTGATGAGTGTCCAAAAGAAGATTGTGCGTCTAGTAATCACTTTCAAATCATATTCTGAGCACACGGAACCATTATTCAAAAAATTAAATCTATTAAATATTTACAAAATAAATTATTATTTGACCAGTTTATTTATATGTTTCAATTTTACAACATGAACAATTAATATGCCCAAAATTTTCAACAATTTTTTCAAAACTAATAATGAAATTCATCATCATAATACTAGAAGTTCCAAAAAACTACATAAAACCTACATCCGAACTAATTACATGAAACATACTCTCTCCAATAAAGGAGTAGAAATTTGGAATAATTTGAACGAAGATTTAAAATCCATTAAATTTTACCAATCGTTCAAAAAACAAGCTAAAATTTATTATCAAATAATTACAAGAATAATAATACAGCATTATAGTATTCATGGACGTCTAAAACAATGCTTACATCATCATGCACTCCTAACTTCGTATTTGTTGTATATCTATGTTATTGTAAAACTATATCACAACTTTCTTTAAGATTTTATGTACTATATATTAACTGACATATAGCTATCGTTTGAATTTAATATTTGCTGTAATAGGGGCCTTGCACTGAAAGCTTCTTAAAGTTTCTTAAAGGCTCATAGCTCTAGTATTCAACTGACGTTATACTGTCAGTATATTCTATCTTAATTATGTAAATAGGGCGAATTTTTAAATAAATAAATAATGTCCCTTTGTTCACTGTGTATTTCGTAATCTGTCCATCACATGTGGTTAAGCCTTAAGGCTATGTGAGTATTGTAAGTTTATTCCTTATAGTATTTAAGTATAGATGCAGCTAGATTATGTACATACTCACAGGGTCTTGAAAGCAAACCATGCCGTGAAATATGTCATGAAGCCTATGGTTTGTGTCATGTATCTAACTGTTGATAGGTACACGGGTAAAAATTGATCAGGTTGTTCGGCGTTGTTCAAACAGGAGTGAACAATGTTGTGCTGCACCCCGTGAACAATATTGTTAACAAGTTGTTCAACCATCAGTACTGTTGCAAGTTGTTAACATGATTGTCAACAAGTTGCAACAATGTTCATGGTTCAACAACTTGTTAACAATATTGTTCACGGGGTGCAGCACAACATTGTTCGCTCCTGTTTTGAACAACTTGCATCAACATGATGATTTTTACGCGTGTAGAATAGTTAGATGTTGTACAATCTACAAAAATGCGGCTTATAGAATCGGGCAGAACATTTAATTATGCCACGTAACAAGGGTAAACCTTATTTAAACTGTTAGATGCTTAAACTAACCATCCCAGATGTTTTACAACATACAAAAAACGTGGAGCCCAGGGTCTAGCTGTCAAAAAATTTTGACTGCACAATATCGCAGTCATTACGTAGTATATACTATATGGATTAATACTTTTAAGTAGTATATATAATAAGGATTGATTGTCCAAAGCAGTCCGAAGCAGTCCGAGCCAGTTTCGCGTTTCAACGTGGTATGAATCAGGGCCGTAGGAAGCTCTTTTTGATTGGGGGGGGGCTGAAAGCGAGGGCCGAAGACCCGAAGAAATTTTTAAATTTAGAGTCTCTGAAACGCCATTTCCTGGACTTTGGCGGGGAAGATTTGACAGAATTTTGATGGTCAGAAAACAGCGTTTTAGTATGTCGAAATTTACAATTTTGTAGTACTAAATGGGCGAAGGTGTATTTAATTAATTTATATTAACTATATATTGGATAAGTTGCAGGAAAGTATATGGGCAATATCGTCATGGATAATGTAGCCGCTTAAAATTAATAAAGCTTAAAATTGATAAAGGTCTGCATGATTTTGAAAAAAGAATGATTATTAGCAAATTATTGGGGGGGGCTGCAGGCCCCACAGCCCCCCCCCCCCCCAGTTGCTACGGCCCTGTGAATAGTGCAATATATTGGGTCAATATTATTAAAAATGATTGTACGGAGAGAAAGGCGAACATGGGTCGAATGGTATGAGGAATGGCCTTGGACAAACCATCCCATTAGTACAACAAAATTACATTACGGAGATAAATGGATGGTATTGGAGAGATGTTGTGATTTTTAATGAAACATTGAATGATGACGTGACTGTGTTTTGGGGCTATAACAAACCTCACAGAGTCGACGTGGGTTGATCATTGAGTGGCATATCACATGGAAGATGCAGTATATATAGTTGTGTTAATTGTGCTTTTTCATTTGTTTGGCCCTCGACGCGTTTCGGTCTCATGACCTTCATCAGGAGGGGCTTCACGGATGGGAGTTGATATTTTGTTGGTTGTTGACGAGAATGAGAAATGGTAAACGAGAGTGGCGTTGTTCAAAATGATATGGGATATGGCATAGGTGGAGTGATGGAGAAGTAGTGAGTAGTCAAAATAATAGAAAATGGTAAAACAATGAAAAAATGATGAAAAACAATGGAAGGAAGAAGAAGAAAAAAAGAAGAAAAGAAAAGAAGAAAAAAAAGAAGAAAAAAGAAGAAGAGAAAAAATAAGAAAAAAAATACGCAATTAGTTTTAACGACAACTTCCGAGGGAAACCATTCCCGGACATTAAAACTAATTAATCCGATTCAAACAAAATTGAAATTAGTTTTAATTGTCATTAAAACTAATTGATCAATTCAAACCGTCTACAACATCTAAGGGAAGCCTCACATATCGATTTTTCCACGAGAAATGTCATATGTTTGTTTTGGG